AATTATTCTTTGCAGCTTTGAGCTGTCGAGATTCGAACGCGATCTCCTGATCTCGCCCATCGGCGTCTGCTTGCAGCAGTGCACAGCCGATGGCAAAGTCCGAAGGGTCACAGACGACGCTGAAAGGACGATCTGGGTCTAGCAGCGCCAGTATGGTGCATACAGGAGGCTGTCTTTGATCCCGTCAAAAGCCTCTTGATGTTCGGTATTCCAACCCCATTCCGCATCCTTTTAAAGGAGGTTGGATGATGGCCGGGCCATTCCTGCGTAGTTTACGCTGTACTTGTGCAAGTAGTCGGCGATACCAAGCCATCTACACAAATCCTTCTGGTTCTTTGGAACCGGCCAGTCTACAATGACCATGACTTTAGCGGGGTCCGCTCGAAGGTCACGGTCCCAATGAAGCACGCTAAAAATAATCTATTCTGCGCATAAGATGCACTTGTCTAAATTGACGTACAGTTTGTTCGTGCGCATGCACTCGAGCACCACTCTTAATTGGACGATGTGGTTCTCCTCATCCGTCCTCCCGTGCGCACGACTGTGAACGAAAATGACGTCAACGTATGCCTGTGCATACGTCATGTGGGGCCTGAACAACAGCGTCACAAGACGATTAAATGTTGCTGGTCCATTTGACAGCCCTTGGGGCATCACCAGCCACTCCCAGAGCATGCCGCTCGGAGTGCTCACTGCTGTCTGCGGGATATCGCTCGCTTTCATGAGCAATTGGTAATACTCGGTCACAGCCGTGGTCCACCTCTGCACCGTTGTGGCGCTCAGGAGCAGAAGCTTATATCACATACTCGGGAATTGTAGACCACTCGGTGACAAGAGGGCAGATGCCGCTACAGCGCTCAACCATGCCCATTGGCAATTGTCTCTATGCACCAGGTTGCCATGCTATACATAGTTATAGATGTATCGCTATATAGTGCTGCAGTAAGACAACAGTGACGAGCCGTAATCATAAGTTTTAGGATGACCACAGCCCCACGTACAAGAACACGCTGGATTAATTTGGCTGTCTTGGTTTTTTCGCGCGATGAAGCCATGTTTGGACTTTGTGTAGGGCCTGCCGAAGGACTCTGAAGATCATAGACCAGAACTTCCCAGTGAACGTGGGTCTCTGTCAGAAACAATTGACTTCGGGAGTCTATGTTGTCGTAAGCCACGATCCACAAACAACATCGCTGTACCGACACTGTCGATGGTGTCCGGCCCCGCCGTAAGCCCGAGCTGCCACAACGTCACGGACCACACGAGGGGTGCTGTTGATGATGCTGAGGTCTAGTGGTTTAGTAATCGAACGAGTTGGGTCGATGGACTCCCTTTTTCCCACTAAAATCAGCCCCGGTTTTGAAATTAAATCTAATAGTGTTAATTGGGCTAACAACTTATTTGCGCGGCTTGCAGCTTGACCATAGTACATTGGCTACAGATACTATTTTTTGCTGAAGGTGCTACCTTCGGCTGATACAGCCACCCTCAGGATAATCACTCAAGGATTTGACGTAACGTCGGGACTGCTTGTAAAAATAGGTAAGTGTACGGGTGCTTTTTTTGTAACCAACGATTTAGATCGGACACGAGAAATTAATGGGCTCCTGGTAGTGTTTGTTGCGATACGTTCATGCAGAACATTAGCTACCAAGTTGAAAAGCGTCAGACCAAGGGGGCAGCCATATCAGATATATAATTTCTCATCGTAAGCCGCAGATATTTCGCCGTCGGTAATGAATGCCGCAGTCGAGGCGAGTGCATGGCCTGAACAGCAGTAACCAGCAAACGAGAGAATCTTCAGTGCTCTTGGAGCGTGAGTGAGAATTTGATGATCACAGTAGTCCTACGTTTTTGAGTTGTCCAGTAGTATCGCACGGAGTTAGGAAGAAATAAGTCCAACTCGTGCTGGATGTAGCTATGCCAGTCAAACATCAATAGCAGCAATATGGACGCTTCGCGAAGTCTTGGCGGTAATGTGCCAGTGTGTAACAAACCTGAGAAATGTGGGCTTCAGCCACAAGTAAAGCATATTTCAGGTACCATTAATTAAGGACCTCACTGGCAATCTGGTTGGCTTTTTTAATAAAGTAATACCCAGTTAATATAGCAAAACATAATTAACATAGTAATATGCCTTACTACTGGCAATCCTGCTACGTGGTGGCTTCTTGTTACGGTGTAGCCACACACAGTGTTATTCCACTAACTGTGTCATACACACCTACGTACGGTCGCACAATCTTGTGCGACCCGCCCTTTCTTACAAGAACACGTGTAACCCCGCTACAGCGAGCGTATGAATCGGTGACTTCTTCGGTGGTCTGAGATCCCAAGCCACGATCATTTGAGCCTCCGTCGCTTGCATATTCCAGCGCTTCCACACCTAGGGTTTGAATATTAGCGGCTCTGCTGCAACTCAAGCAATTAAAGCCATTATTGTTTTTGAACAGATGTGTTCGTTTGCCCTGTATAAGGCTTAAGTACTTCGAAACTGTGGATTGCGATTTACTACACTAGTTCTGGTTCCTGAAAGGTCGGTGACCTTAGCTTAGCTTTCTTTGAGCAAAGAGCTGCTGCACTCGCCATGCATGCAAAGATGAACGATCCTGACGAGTACGCGCTGCGCCTGATTCCTCGAAAGCTGTTGGTGTCCGTCAATCCCAGCGAATCAGCGCAGCTAGGTCAATGTAATTAGCCGCTATTCCGGAGGTTATCGATTTCACTAACGCAGGAGCGGCCAGAGAGTTGAGTATGAGAGCTAGCTTGGCATTCCGTGAAGCGTATGAAAACGTTGGACTCTTTTTTGCATTTAGCTGAGAAACTTTCTCTTCGTCGCAAGGCATGAACGTCGCAATCGACTAGGCGTCTTCTCACGCGTTTGGGAAGCTCGGCGATCACTTTGCGCACTGCCCCCAACACACATTGAAGTTGCAACTATCGAATCTTTGGCGCGGTCTGCTCAGAGTGCGACTTCGCGCTTGTTATGTTTTTCAGTGTGAGTATCACAGCATCGTGATCCGATCATTGCATCTTATCACCTGCACGTGATCAAGCGCTGTTGCTGAGATATTCTATTTATCCATACCATCTGTGGAAGCAGCCATCGCACACGTTTTACATGAAGATGTAAAAATTTGCTGAAAAGTAGTAAACATACAGCCACAATATCATTTGATACTGCGTCTACTATTTGCCAGCATTCCAGCGCCAAGTCAAATCCTGTTGATTGGCTCGAGGTCTTCCAGCACCTACTTCAATTGAGTTCAAAGTAAAGAGTACATTTAAAGTTGCTGCCCATGGTGACCATTTGTGCTGGGATTGGTTAGACTACGAGTGACCGGAAGTAGGTGTCTTGCTTGCATCTATCGGTACTGGCATAGATACATCCAGGCTCCTTGGACGGCGACAAAAATGCGCGGACCAGAGATTGTGTAACTAGGGATCACGTGTTCAATCGCCGACTGGGACAAACTAGCACCAGTTTGAGGTTGAGTAGTAGGATAGAAGTATGAAACTCCACAATTTTGTAAGATGCGTAAAGTCCAGTGCATGCATACCGGTTCCCTTCGTGTTATCGCCCGGCCCGTCGTATCACGTATCAAAATCATGTCCAACGGACCGCTCGAGTTGCGCAACAAATGAATCAAGCCTAGCATGCACGAACATGAGGTTTCACCGAGTTTTGGGCATTCTGCGTGGCCAGATGAAATCGTGAAAGAATGCAACCGACACACGCGCTAGTTGAAACTTCAGAAGAGCCGGGTGACCAGTGAACAATTACCACTCAGACGAATTTAAACAGTCTTGGTCCGTGTGCTGATGTGTCGAGACATTGAAGTAGCGATCACATCATAGCTCTTTAACCGTTACACGCAGCTGAGAGCTGGACACTACGTGACTTATACCTAGGCTTCGCATTGCTGTTACCAACAGCATGACACGTCGGTGGGGGGGTGTCTTTGGCCATCGTGAGACGGTCCCGTTGCGTAGTCGTAGATCATGACAGGCCAGATCGTTTTCTCTTTATGTTCATACAGCCACGTTACCAAAGGATCCGTGAGATCGTCGTGTCTGGCCACAACAACGACAGAAACTAGTCGTGTCCGCATACGATATATGGCTTGTTGCGTGTTCAAAGCATGCGATGGGGCCCTCCGGCGCTCGTGCGTGAATCTTATTTCTGAGAAGCTGGACAACATCTTTCAGGAGTAATGTCAGAGCCGCAGCTTGAGACGGTAAAGCGCCTATGAAATTGACGAGCTGGGGATGGATGCACTCCAATAGCGACATCCTGCCGACGCTGTCTCGGCTCCTTCTTGAGCCTCGAACATGACTTATTCAGCATTTGATCGATGGCTAGCGTCAAAGTTGGCGCGTCACCATTGCCAAGCATGAGGTTCTCGGAGACGTCTATGCAAATTTAGTAGGTTTAGTAGCGCTTAGACTAACGAAGGTGACTATCAGATGTGAGCGTTTCTGACAGTTCGTAGAGTGAGCCACTTACAACTGTCTTGCGCTATGGATCAGCGAAATCATCCACATCCTGGTACATATTTCCTAGTGTCCTCACTCGTCTATTCAGCGTACGACTACTCGCTGAAACAAAAGCAATAGGAGTGTTCGCGTTTTTCATAGTACATGAAAACAGTCACCATTGAGAGCGAGCAACGGCGAAATGGTATTCTTAGCATAACGGACGCTTCGTCAGGTGCCAAAACATTTGTTATGATCAGGACCTCACAGCGACGCGCACTTGATACGGATGACTCAACGGGCGCTGACTTTTCCAGGATTTCGGAGATACTAGAGACCGGCTTTCACAGGTCCCACACAAGGACATGCAGATCATAATCATCACCCCATTCAGTAGGTATGATACTATTGCCAATGTCGGTATCTCAGACTGTCAAAATGAGGGCATTGATTGCCGCAACTCGATCGTTTGGCGGGATAGAGCGTAATCAAGTGGGCTGTAATCATTGGTCACAAGTAATTATCAAAATGTCCACATGATTCGCTTAAAATGATTAACAATGGCGTTGTTAGTCGCACAAATGTAGTTTTGCCGTACTCTTGGTCAGACAAAACGCGTACGACTGTTCACGGCGTAGTATAAGCAACTTATAGTGTCTGGAACGTCGATAGTTCAGCTTCCGAGCGCGTCACTCCATACAGCCTCGATTCTGGGTGTTCTCAACGTCGCAAGAAGCCTGTCCAGTGCTGGACCTGAAAATTATTGGTTTCAATGCTTGATCGGCGAGGGGCGACACTGAGACATTTCCCGCCCTGGTCGGGCTTGGGCATCTGCAAGAAACTGCAATACACAAAAGGCCGAGAACCATTCAAGGCATTCTTCTTCGGTTTCAGAAATTCCAGCAGCGGCAAAGAAGGGAGTGACTATATATCCACAGTGGGTGTGTCTTCACGGTACCACTTTATCCTTCATGTCTTATGGTCTGTAATGGTAAGCGAAGGTGGAGCGCGCGCTCACCCGAGACTAACGTAGATACCGAAGTAGAGACTGCAGCTCGCAGCGAGGATTTGCTATTGCTGCCATTTGGCTTTTCATTTTTTAATTTGGAGACCCGTTTGCCAGCACGTTACGGGTCGAATAAATTCTTTGGCTGCTCTTGGTGGCTCTTTTGGGTTTAGAGGTCGCGAATTTAGTTCGTCCCACATTTTTAAGCTGCTCGACCACATGTCTTTTCCTTACGCAATGCATCACGCTGGACTTGGCTCTCGCTTTTGCTGGATACGCACGTGGGGTGGTTCCTCCTTTGCAGCATTAAATGCAATGCGCCTTTTAATTTATCTTGTTGATATGTTCGTCTTCTTTTTACATTCGAAAACGACGGTGCCACACATCCGCAAAGCGCTTGAAATTGTGACACTATCTTTTTTCTGAGCTATGACCACCGTCATCATAGCTTAAAAGTGGTTGTAGTGCGTCCGCTTTATTCATATATGTGTTTATTTCCTGTGAGTTGCATTCTTGCAGTCGCGCACCGAGTGGTGAACAGTAGCAAGGCGCGCGCCATGATGTTTGCGGGTAATGGACATCTAAAATAAAGCTGTGATCGTCGTACGTTAACCGGATACGATGAATCGCCTCAAGCGCCGCCAGTCACGTGATCTGATCGCGAGTTGCTTGCTAACATGGTTGACTCGGTCGCTGCCCATCCATACTGGGGAAGTGGGTCCAACCCCGAGAGCCGGAGCCGCCCCTTCTATCTGTTGGCGTTGCGGATATTTACGCAGGTCGGTTGCTTCGATTAGAAGTAGTTGTGTCTGTGCATTGATCCGCAGAGCTGCAGCGGGGCTGCCGTAGCAAAACGCTTGAGGAAGCGTACTTTAGGTCACCGACCTT